GGTCAGTGTCATCATGAAATTAGGAAAAATAAATCATATTTTACAAACTTCAAGTTTTTCTTGAGGATATAACAGAATAGATAAGAGGCAATTGATGGAGGTGGTGTATTTTTTCAGAAGGCTTTCATAAAGTCCCACACAAAAGGATGGTAAATAAATATACACACACTTGAGATTAGGGAGAATATACTGGCATGGATTGAAAACTGGTTAATGGACAGAAAATAGAAGTAAATGGTTCATTGCCAGGTTGGCAGGCTGTGATTATTGAGTTAGTACAGGATCAGTGTTTCGGCCCCCCCGCTATTCATGATCTAGATCAAATGACCAATGATCAAAATTAAATATAATGTTTCCAAGTATGCAGATGATGTAATGGGGAGGGAATAAGTTTTATATATTAGTCACCCAAAGTTAACATGCAGGTGCAGCAAGCAGTAGGAATTCACATGGTATGTTGCCCCTTATTATACGACTAATTGAACATTGGACCAGAGATGCCTTACTGTAATTTCGTAAAGTCTTGGTGAGACCATGGAGTTCCTACTATCTCTGGAGAAGTAGTGTACAGTTTTGGCGTCATCATATAGGGAAAGATAATTTTGATATAGAGGTAGTGCAGCAAATGTTCACCACACTATTCCTGGAATGAAGAGAATGTCCTTGGAGAAAAGATTAAATAGCCTGGCTGATATTCTATGAAGTTTAGAAGAATCTCATTCAGACATAGAAAATTCTTACAGGGATCAACAGGGTAAGGCAGTAAGAATGCCTCCTCTACCTGAGGGGTCTACCACCAGGGGGGACAGTCTCAGGATAAAGGCAGGCCATTTTGAACTGAAACAAGGGAAGCTTCTTCACTCAGAGGATGGTAAATCTTTGGAATTCCCCATTCCAGCCAGTTTTAGAGGTTCAGTCATTGAGCATGTTCAATGCTGAAACTGATAGATTTCAACAATTAAAGAAACCCAAGTAGTATGGAGATAGTGCAAGAGAATTGTATTGAAGTAGATGAGGAACAATGGTGAGTTCAAAAGTGCTGCATGGCCTACTCCTGCACTTATGTTCTTATGGTTTATATAATGCTTCAGTAAAAAGCAGCTCCAGATGTAACACATTAATCACATAGCTTTGCCAATTGTTAAATTTGTTGCACTGTCTGAAGGCAGGCATAAACAGCTACAAGCAACTGTGTTACCAATAATCCTCCTCATCAACTATTCCAGTCACAGACTTGATGATTCAGTGGAATACTTTAACTTGTGATACCAAATGGGATAGTTCTGCTTGGCTAAACTAACCAACCTCATTCTTAATAGTAGAATAGAAAAAGTCTGGTCCCTTATGTATTCACTATCTACAGACAATTTTATTTTCCAACAGCCCATGATTTTATCTAGAGAGTTACACATCCTAAAAAAAAAATCAGTGGCTGAAATCACAATGTCTAGCCAGATAGATTAGCAAGAAAAAGCTGGAAGTGGTTTAAACACACTTTTATAGAATGGGATTATTTGATAAATAACCAGCAAATACCATGCACATTTATCTATTAAGCAGACTGAACCTTTTAACCGATTTCCTCTTTTCTGTTAGTTTCTACATTAATCATTTGACCTAAAGCTCTGCTGTTAGTTGAAACAGTTGTACAGTCATCAAAATCTTCCCAAAAAATCCAGCAATTGAAAATACTTGTGACCAGTGATTAAAGAAGTTGCACAATATTTAGCTGTTAGAAAAGCTAATGTCACATCAGCCTCTTGAGCTATAAAGGAAAAATTGAATCAGCCTGGGTGACTACTGAAGCGTATGGTTGAGTGAGTGAATGTATGGTTGAGTGAGTGAATGTATGGTTGAGTGAAAAACAGATTGACTATAAAACTGACCCTCCCCTACACTGAATAGCCTACAAACTTTTGACTTGCTGAAGGGATGGGAGTGTTGCCCTGCAAGGTCAGTGTTTACCACCCATTCCTCATTGTCATTAAAAAGGTATCAGCACTCAATCTGAACACTGCAGGCATCTCAGAAAAGGTACTCTAGTTTGAATCTGGCTCTTCAGAACAGAAACAGGAAAATGGAGGTTAAAATGGATTGAAGGTTTAAAAAACTGGATGGCAAATTTAAGCAGTTGGTGTCATATTTCGGTAGAAGCATGGGTTTCGAACTAGAACACTAGGCAGCTCAGTGGAATTGGCAATCCTAGCAGGAAAGGATTACCCACACATATCTCAGCCAGTTCAAAGTGGCATTGAAAAACTTGAACACATTCATAGTCAAGGTTGATATGTGGCATAGGAAGACTAGAGACCACAATATACACAATCCTAACATTTAGTCCTGGTTTTATAAAGATCATATCATAAAATACAGATCACATTAACACTAACATACAAATTTTAATTCTATGGAAAGCAAGAAACAATTTTATGGTATAACATTCACTATCATTTTAAGGAAGTAAATCTAAAGTACTATCATAACAGTAAAGTCACCATTGTCCTACCAAAACACAGGACTGCTCTCTCATTAGAAAGAGACTACTGATGATAATTTAATCAGAGGGTCAACTGGCCTCAGGCAATGGGACAGGTTGAGAAGGACAGTCCTTCATGGAAATCTCAGGAATTGAACCCATTCTGTCAGCATTACTCTGCATGACAGAAGTGGGCGGCACGGTGGCTCAGTGGTTAGCACTGCTGCCTCACAGCGCCAGGAACCCCGTTTCAAATCCACCCTCGGGCGACTGTCTGTGTGTAGTTTGCACATTCTCTCGGTGTCTGCGTGGGTTTCCTCCCACAGTCCAAAGATGTGCAGACCAGGTGGACTGGCCATGGGAAATTGCCCATAGTGTCCAGAGATGTGTAGATTAGGTGGGTTTGGGGAGTGGGTCTGGGTGGGATGCTCTGACTATCGGTGTGGACTTGTTGGGCCGAAAGTGCCTGTTTCCACACTGTAGGGATTTTATGATCTATGAAACCATCCATTAAGCCAACTGGCCCCTATAAATGGCAAGCACAAAATAAGTTTATACATTCATGTGAAGATATGATTCAACTGTAAATGAAAGTTTTTTTTTGTAAATTGTCCACTCCAGTCCACATAGAGCAACCATTTGGTAAGTAAAATTTGGCCTAAACCTAGCCTTGAAAGCACATTCAATGTATTGTAAGATGTCAATTCATTTCAAGAGTCTAAATTTGAGAAGTTTCATTAAAATACCTTCTTGTAAGAAAGTTCTGTGTTCACAGGTCCTTGGATGTTGGTCCAGCCTTTGAATTTTTCTCCAGCCTCCCTTAATAAGTCCTGGATAATGTCTTCCATGCAGATCATATAGTCCTTATCCCTGCCTTCATGGTGTCCTCTGAATCCTTCCATGGGCAGAGGATGTGCATCAACTGCAATGTAGGAGTTTCGGGACTGCACCATTATATCATGTGGGATCTGTCAAAAACAAAACCAATAAAATTCTCAAGGGTCAAATTAATGGTCCACTAAATACTTAGTCTAGATTTGTGCCAATCCTTTATATAAATGCTGCAAGTACCTTATGTTCAAAAGTGTGCCCAATATTTAACGATACAATAACAAAATTTGTTGAGATGAGACATTGAGCCTTTCTCACAGGCATAAAGACACACATGTTCCTTCAATTTTTACAAAAGCAACCAAAACACTTATAAGACAAAAAATCTTTGAGCTGTTTTATGTTACACATAGCAAGAAAGCTTGCAGAACAACAGATAACCACGTTAGGATAACACGGTGTAGAGCTGGATGAACACAGCAGGCCAAGCAGCATCAGAGGAGCAGCAAAGCTGACGTTTCGGGTCGAGACCCTTCTTCAGAAAACCACGTTAGGATACCCACTTTAATTCAACCTGTCCTAAAAGACAGATCTGGGCCTCCCAATGTTTCCTGGTTTCTTTCCCCCTCATCAAACATTATTAAGCACTCACTGTTTATCACTGATTGTGTTTCCCTTCACTCCTTAGGATGGAGGAACTATTTGAGGAAGAGGAACAGCAGGAGCAGGAGGCTCAGAACAAGGACAAGCAACAGGTGTCCCTGTTAGAGTGTAGGCAAGGGGAACCACTCAGAAAAGGACTTACCCACACTACACAAATACAACAAATATTGCACATTTCAGTTCTAACCTTTTCATCATCCTCTTTCACTCCCAAGTGTTGTCAAAAGATTCAAAGTATGAACTCCAAAATTCTTTGTTTTTACCTGGAATAGTTTCTTGCACTCTGCAATCATATGACCCAGTCCCTCAGTTGCTGCCAGATTTTCATTGAGGTCCCTCTGATCAGGTTTGTTCAGTACACCCCTTTTTCGAATCACCCTACAAATGAGGTCAAGAAAAAACATCTTAAGATGACCCATTAAAGTTATATAACATATAGGTGCATAAACTTCACTATTTTTGTCTCGAACTGCTCTGTTACAGTCCCACAGAAAGCAGCTAAACAGATGTAACATCGAGCTATAATGCGAATCTTCCATGTTTTATCAGTAACCAAATTCACTTAGGCAATGAAGATGAAGGTTGGCTCACCGATCGAGACTTTAGTTCTGCAGTGGCACAGATCTCTTTTTTGTCTCTTAATGTTTCTAAATGCTGTGATGTTAGTCATTATTTCCAAGATCAGCAAAGGGCAACAAATTGAAAAGGAAATCCTCAAGGGCGGCACGATGGCTCAGTGGTTAGCACCGCTGCCTTTCAGCACCAGGGACTGGGGTTTGACTGTCTGTGTGGAGTTTGCGCATTCTCCCCATATCTGCGTGGGTTTCCTCCCACAGTCCAAAGATGGATTGGCCATGCTAAATTGCCCAATATACTGGCAATGTGCAGGTTACATGGTTTAGCCATGGGAAATGCAGGGTTACAGGGTTAGGAAGGTGGGTCTGAGTGGTTTGTTCTTTGGAGGGTCGTTATGGACTTGATGGGTCGAATGGCCTGCTTCCACACTATGGGGATTCTATGATCCTATGAAGGGTGGTAATCTCTGGATTATTATCGGAACTTCATGCCAATTGACAGAGGACACATAAGATTTGAGAAATGGCTACGTAGCTTGAAGACTGGTGTGGGAGAATTGGGTTCCATTCGGGTGGCACAGGTTTCTGTATGGAGTCATACTCGTACAACACAGAAATAGACCCCTCAGTCCAACTTGTCCATGCCAACTACATTTCCAAAATTAGTCCCACTTCCCTGCGTTAGGCTCATATCCCTCTAAACCTTTCCTATTTATGTATCTGCCCAAATATCGAATACATTGTAACTGTACTTGCATCTACCACTTCCTCTGGCAGTTCGTTCCACACACAAACTACCCTGTGTGAAAAGTTGCCCCTCAGGTCCCTTTTAAATCATTCGCTTTAAATCTCGCCTTAAAAATATAGCCCTCATATGAACTCCCCAATCCTAGGGAAAAAGACCTTTGCTATTCACCTTATCTATGCCCCTCATGATTTTATAAACCTCTACAAGGTCACCTCTAAGCCTCTCATGTTCCAGTGAAAATGTCTCAGCCTATTCAGCCTCTCTTTATAACTCAAACCCTCCATTCCCAGCAACATCCTGGTCAATCTTTTACAAACCCTCTCCAATTTAATAATATCTTTGGTTAAAGACTTAGAAAAAAACTGCAGATGCTGGAATCCGAGCAAACAGGAGGCTGGAAGAACACAGCAAGCCAGGCAGCATCTGGAGGAAAGGAGCATTCAATGTTTCAGGTATTATCCTTCTTCAAGGGCGATACCTAAAACATTGACTTCTCCTTTCCTCCAGATGCTGCCTGGCTTGCTGTTTTCTTCTAGCCTCCTGTTTGTCTACCTAATAATATCCTTCCTGTAGCAGGGCACCAGAACTGCACACAGTACTCCAAGAGGTGGCCTCACCAACGTCTTGTACAACCTCAACATGACGTCCCAACTCCTATGCTCAAGGTCTGAGCAATGAAGGCAAGCATGCTAAATGCCTTCTTAACCATCCTGTTCACCTGTGATGCAACTTTCAAAGAACTATGTACCTGAAGCCCTAGGTTTCTGTTTGACAACACTACCAAAGGCCTGACCATTAACTGTATAATTCCTTGTTCACTTTACCAAAATGCAATACCTCGCATTTATCCAAATTAAACTCCATCTGCCACTCCTCAAACCATTGTGGGGGCTATATCATTGGTCTGCATCTGAAGCATGCTGGACCAGTGTTCTAGAAAATCATACAACTAGTTAAGTATGAGAGGGATTTAAACTAAACAATATGGACGAAGGATCAAGTCTGGCTAGATGTGACAAATTAAAATTGCAGTAGGAGAGCAAAATAGTAATGTCCGAAATAAAAGGTCCGGGAATGGCATGAATAGACAGAAAACAAACTGAAGAATATTTCAACGGATGAGGCTTGATGTTACAAAGACAACAAGAAGACAAAACCAAAGTCTCCATATTTCAACATGCATTGCATTCATAACTATGTAAACAAATTTATAGCATCAACTGAACTAGATTATGATGACCTGGAGACAAATGTGGAGGCAGGGCTGTGCATTGACATGGATTCAATCATGAATATTGAGGGATGTAAGACAATCATGAATAAAAGAATCTGAGTAAATGTGGAAGGGAGGTACAATGCAATAATTAGAGGTGACCTTGATTCAGGAGATGGAGATGTAGAATTAGTTTCACTGGAGCAGTAGGGGAATTAAGTCACTTGTGGAGTGGTCTACAGGCCACCTAACTATAACCACAATGTTGAATGAAGCATACAAGAAGAAATAATGGGTGCTTGTGATTGGTGTGAACTAATGGCCAATTATTAATGATGACAGCACTCTGCCTGCCAACAAATGTGATTGGTTGTCATGTAGCTGAATAGCTTGGGCTATGAACAAGACAGAGAAGCTAGTCAGACCAGATGAGAAACCAAGAGGTGTAGAGCAGCCAAAAAGCACTGTGCAGAAATACACTTTAAACCAGAAGAAAACAAGCTTATCTTTCCTTCAGCCAATGTTGAAAGGTGTGACTTTGAATCAGACAAGTCAGAGACCTTTCATAAAGAAACCAGCACCCTGTGCCACTTGCTGAGCCAAAGACTTCTCCTCACCATTTCTTTTCCAGAATGCTTCCACTAGTTTGCAACAGCCACACAACAGACCTTGTGAACAAAGACTATGGAACAGTTTTTCTAGCCTTCCCTCTAACCGTTTGTTTTTTTTCCCTGTTTTTATTTGTCTGTGTGCTTGAGGGGTGTATTTATAAAAGAATTAAGATTTTTAGTTTAGATTGACTGTTTACAGTAGTTAGAATCTAATTAACAGTCCTAAATAGCAATTCTTGTCAAGTACAGAGACCTGCTCCATACTTTCTACCAACCTGGGTCAGAAAATAAAGTAGTTTGGGAATTTTGCATATTTCTTTTAAAAAACTTTAACTTTACTGATGACTCTGGGAATAGCGGGACTTATTTTGCAGTGCACACCCTCAATGAATCGTGACAGGGAAAAGTCCAGAAGTAAAGTGTATTGTTTAAAAATTAGGCATAACTCTTTTAAGACCCATATTTTTCACCAACAGGGTTACGCAACTGTCGAACTCTGCGTTAGAAAGCAGCGGTAGCATGGGTCATTGAATATTTTTAAGGTGATAGTTCATAGCCATTGGGATTGAGTGGTCTATTCCTGCTCTTAATTCATATGTTCGCATGTGGACGGCATGGCAGACAATTTAGTTTGCATGCTCATTTGCAATGGTCCACTGATATGCCTTTGGATTCTATCTTTCCTTTACAGTCTGCCTTTTTACCATCTATTTCCTCTCTTCCTTAGTTTTCTGTCTTCTCCACACCTTTCACTTTCTTTTGCATCATCAGAGTTAATTCATGGAGGATAATTTGAATTCAGCTCAGATGAGGAAAATGAAGGTTTCCTCCTTCTGAAATACAACAGAGTGGTAAATTGATGTCCTTTAGTTTTATTTCTGTGGTGCCAGTGGTCAAAAGGCAAACAAGCAGATAGTTACAATGTGAATATTGTTTCTCTAGTAATTGTTCAGCCTCCAACTGGTTAGAGACTTTTCTTGGTCACTAACACTTTCCCTCCCGATTCAAAGTCAAATGACAGAGCACAACTACAAGACCTAAACTCAATCTAGCTCCACAATCCAAAGGATCACCGAATTGTTAAGACACCATCCTCCAGCTGAGATGTTAAAACAACCTCCTCTCTATTTGTTCAAGTTGGCACCAAACATCCCATGTCATATTTAAACAAAAGCAAAGGGGTTCAGTGTCTAAAAGCAGCAATCCTCCCTCAAGCAACAAACAGATTTGACTGCTCATTCATTTCATTGCTATCTGCGGCACAAAAATGGTTTACAACAGCAGTCTCATCGTCAACACCAACCAGAAATCATGTATTTCAGTGGTAATCATTTGTGGATCAGGTTTTTGGAAATATGGCCTTTTGTCAAATCACTATTATTTTCAAAGCTTACATTTCGTAATTTTATTCGCAGTCAACCTAGCATTACAACATGGCTCTTCATATTATTCAAGTCTGACCATAAACAATTGACAAAACAACAATCCCAAAAATCCCCCTCCCACTAACTTTTAATACCAGTTTTTGCCACGAGAAATGAAGGTAGAAATTTCAGTCCAAACATGATGCTAACTATTTCTCATGGCTCTGATCCAGCTACTTGCCCAGAATATTGGGGCCATCAGTGAAGCAGAAAAGACTGCATCATCCCTCAACCAAACACATTGAGATCATTGGAATGCTCATTATTCCTTCACTCCCAAAGAAATTTAATAGTGGAGTGACTGGGAATTGCAAAGCTCACCTTGGTGAGGAAGCTTCTTTTTTTGGCACATTTAGATGGAACAGTGATGGAGCAAGGCAGACAGCCAGATTTCCAGCAGTCATTTGGTTCTCTTGCACTGATGCAATGTCACTCAAGAAGTACAATAGCGACTGAAGTACCTCACGGTTCTCATCTGGCAACAGCACAATTGCAGCCTGAAGGGCTTGGAGGCGTTGGTCCTTTGGCACATCTAAGACACACAAAGGAGGAATCACACAAGGAACACTACATTGTTGCTAATTTAACATTTGAAAAATTCTAACTGAAACTCCTACCGCAGTCTTAAGTATCATAGAAAGGACTAACTTCATGTAAAGAGCAAGGGCATAACATTTTTTTAAACTTTAGTCATGGATGTTGACGTCACTGGCAAGGCCAGAATTTATTATCCACCCATAATTGCATATGAGATGCAACCAAATAGCTTACCAGACCATTTCAGAGGGCAGTTGTGAGTCAACTACATTACTTTGAATCTATAATTACATCTAGGCCAGATCAAATAGAAAGACCTAGGAGAACACTAGTGAACCAGATAAGTTTTTGCAACAATCCAAAAGTTTAGTGGTCAACATAACTGATACTAGTTGTTTCTTTTTCAAATTTCAGGTTTATTTCCTTTACTGAATTTAAATTCCCCAGTTGTCTTGATTGGATTTGAATGCATGTCCCAGGGCCAATCCAAAACTGCACTGTAGCAACTTCCCAAGGATCTCCCAAACCCAAGATCTCTACCCTTTAGGTAAAAAGCCATAGGCATATGAGAACACCATGACCTCCAAGTTTCCCCATCAGTTACACTCTAACCTAATTTGGAAGTACTTCATTGTTTCTTCATTATCAATGGTGCAAAACCTTGGAACTTCTGACCAAACAAATATCGCTAAGAGACTACCTTCACTGCACAAACCAGTAATTAAAAAGGGGCTTTTCCCCATCACCTTCAAGACCAATAAGAATTCACCAATAAATAGTTGCCCTGTCCCCACATCACATAAATGAATTTTAAAAATTCTCAAAAAATATATGCACCAGATGCCATCAGAATAATTGTAAACGTTAAACTTGAGATTATGTTTAGTTCTTGAGATTCAGAGCACCTCAAAAAAAGTCCTGTCTATAGTGGTGGGGTAACAGGTTGATGACTTAAATTGGTAAACAGACTCATCATTAGAAGTGATGGTCCCACCATCATAAAAACAGCTCAACTTCAGGGATCTGGATAGCAAAACAAGTTAAGTACTGGAATTATAAAAAATTGCATCTATGTAACACCTTTCATCACGGCCAGATGTTTCAAATGACTTTAGTGTCAGTGAAGAACTTCAAAACTGTAGTTAACATGGAAAGAAGGCAACATTGTGCACAGCAAGTTCCCACAAACAGCGCTGAAATAATGGCCGGACAATCTGCTTCTGAAGTATTAAATTATTGAATATTGTCCAGGAAATCAAGAGATAACTTCCTGAACTTCTTCAAAATACTGCATCGGGATCTTTTACATTCTTCTGAGAGGACAAAATAGCACTTTGGTTTAATGTCTCTTCCTAAAGATGCAATCTCTAAAAATGCAGCACTCCTTCAGTACAACAGTGAAGAGTCATCTTTGAGTTTTGTGCTCAAGTTCAGGAGTGGGACTTGAACTTTGCGACCACTGAGTCACAGCTGATACACAATAACTCTGTGTTATGATAACCAGCTGAACTGGCAGAATGGTATTCTCTTGGCCATGTGATCTACATGAACGGAGTATCTCATTGTACTGAATCATCGCAGCACAGTTCCTAGTGGGCATGGTCCAACTGAAAAATTTGGCAGTACATGAACAATTTCTTTCATAAAGTAGCAGGTCCAAAAAGGAAATCTCATTTTGGCACAAAAGGTGCATTCTGGTTTCAAGATAAAGGAAGCTTTGCTCTGCAGATTCCTGAGCTATGCTCAGCATGAATATACTTACATTGACTCTTGGTAATCTAAATGGAAAAGGATTTTACTCCTCAGCATCATAATAAAACTCACTTACTGAGAATAAAACATTATAATACATAAGAAAGAATGTGGAAAGATGCATTTTTTTTTTCCTATTTCACTCACATTGATAGATCTGCAGAAATGTTTCTGTTAGTTTGTTGGTGAAGATGGGCTCTGGGAGGTCCCGGAAATATTGCTTTAACATGTCTGCTACGTCAAATGCTGACTGACCATGGTAATTAACATTGTCAGGGCTGCTTTCATTCATTTGCCTCAGAGCCTGGATTCGAGATTTTACCCCTGACTTCCTGAAGATGCCAACCTGTTTAGAAGACAAATAAAAATGTTTCTTTCCAATACATACATTTCAAATCATTCTTGAGTAAGACATTTTCTAACTATACAGCAATGGCCAACATTCATTTCAAAAGAGGTAACCGATATCCAGTCGTTACAACAGAAAGAACACGCTGCAAGATTGCAGAGAACCATCCACGTGAAATAAATTAGACAGTAGTATATATCAGAATCAAATGTCAAGATCTGTCACAGGGAATAAAAGGACACAATCTATATGAAAGGATAGGGATTTGGGCACTTACATCATCAGTGACTGAACCAGTCTAGCAGACAGCTGCAGGTTCATCTGAAAGCCCAGTATAAAGGCGCATGTAGCACGAGGGAGAAAGGACTTAAAAATACATACTGAAGCTAATTAGCTTACTCTATCTCAGCCACTTCTTTACTGGTTTAGTGCTAGCTGTTCCTTTTTAAATTGTAATGGGAACACACTAGACAAATGAGATCTGATAAACCACAGCTGAAAGCAGGTACCCGAATAAATGCAATGTACTGATGACCAGCTTCACTGTGTCATGCCACTTCTGTGGTTCTGCAGCTGCCTACGAGCAGTGAAACTACTAAACTCAATACACTGCTCCATCTGATAGCAGATAATTGGCTGCTCTTTAGGGAAAAGGCAAATGATTTCCGCCTGTTTCTCTTCAAAGTAATTTCTCCCAGTTCCTCCTCTGGTCTTTGTGAGTCACTCATTTGGACTCCAATTAAGATGTACACGTCCAAAGCTCAGTCTGGATCATTCACGGCACAGCCACTTGAAGATATATAAGTTTCGCCTAATGATGACTTAAGAGGGTGACCTTAGGGGTTTATAAAATCATGAGGGGCATACGTAGGGTGAATGGGTAAGGATTTTTTCCCTGGGGGCGGGGGGAAGGTGGGGGAGTCCAAGACCAGAGGGCATAGGTTTAAGATGAGAGGGGAGAACAAAGAACAAAGCAAATTACAGCACAGGAACAGGACCTTCGGCCCTCCAAGCCTGCGCCGATCCAGATCCTCTATCTAAACCTGTCACCTATTTTCCAAGGATCTGTATCCCTCTGCTACCTGCCCATTCATGTGTCTGTCTAGATACATCTTAAATGACGCTATCGTGCCTGCATCTACCACCTCCGCAGGCAACGCGTTCCGGGCACCCACCACCCTCTGCATAAAGAACTTTCACGCATATTTCACTTAAACTTTTCCCCTCTCACCTTGAAATCGTGACCCCTAGTAATTGAGTCCCCCACTCTGGGAAAAAGCTTCTTGCTCTCCACCCTGTCTATACCTCTCATGATTTTGTAGACCTCAATCAGGTCCCCCCTCAACCTCCGTCTTTCTAATGTAAATAATCCTAAATCTACTCAAACTCTCTTCGGAGCTAGCGCCCTCCGTACCAGGCAACATCCTGATAAACCTCCACTGCACCGTCTCCAAAGCATCCACATCCTTTTGGTAATGTGGCGACCAGAACTGTACGCAGTATTCCAAATGTGGTCGAACCAAAGTCCTATACAACTGTAACATGACCTGCCAACTCTTGTACTCAATACCCCGTCCGATGAATGAAAGCATGCCGTATACCTTCTTGACCATTCTATCGACCTGCGTTGCCACCTTCAGGGTACAATGGACCTGAACGCCCAGATCTCTCTGTGCATCAATTTTCCCCAGGGCTTTTCCATTTACCGTATAGTTCGCTCTTGAATCGGATCTTCCAAAATGAATCACTTGCATTTGCCTGGATTGAACTCCATTTGTCATTTCTCCGCCCAACTCTCCAATCTATCTATATTCTGCTGCATTCTCCAACAGTCCCCTTCACTATCTGCTACTCTACTAATCTTAGTGTCATCTGCAAACTTGCTAATCAGACCATCTATACCTTCCTCCAGATCATTTATGTATATCACAAACAACAGTGGTCCCAACACAGATCCCTGTGGAACACCACTGGTCACAGTTCTCCATTTGGAGAAACTCCCTTCCACTACAACTCTCTGTCTCCTGTTGCCCAGCCAGTTCTCTATCCATCTAGCTCCATCCGTGCACCCTGAACCCCATACGACTTCACTTTCTCCATCAGCCTACCATGGGGAACCTTATCAAACGCCTTACTGAAGTCCATGTATATGACATCTACAGCCCTTCCCTCATCTATCAACTTTGTCACTTCCTCAAAGCATTCTATCAAGTTGGTAAGACGTGACCTTCCCTGCACAAAACCATGCTGCCTATCACTAATAAGCCCATTTTCTTCCAAATGTAAATAGATCCTATCCCTCAGTATCTTCTCCAGCAGCTTCCCACCACAGACGTCAGGCTCACCAGTCTGTAATTACCTGGATTATCCTTGCTACCTTTTTTAAACAAGGGGACAACATTGGCAATTCTCCAGTCCTCCGGGGCCTCACCCGTGCTCAAGGATGCTGCAAAGATATCCGTTAAGGCCCCAGCTATTTCCTCTCTCGCTTCCCTCAGCAACCTGGGATAGATCCCATCCGGACCTGGGGACTTGTCCACCCTAATGCCTTTTAGAATACCCAACACTTCCCCTCTCCTTATGCCTACTTGACCTAATCAAACATCCATCCCTAACCTCAACATCCATCATGTCCCTTTCCTCGGTGAATACCGATGCAAAGTAGTCATTAAGAATCTCACTCATTTTCTCTGACTCCTCGCATAACTTCCCTCCTTTGTCCTCGAGTGGGCCAACCCTTTCTCTAGTTACCCTCTTGCTCCTTATGTATGAATAAAAGGCTTTGGGATTTTCCTTAACCCTGTTTGCTGAAGATATTTCATGACCCCTTTTAGCTCTCTTAATTCCTCGTTTCAGATTGGTCCTACTTTCCCGATATTCTTCCAAAGCTTTGTCTGTTTCCAGTCGCCTAGACCTTACGCATGCTTCCTTTTTCCTCTTTGCTAGTGTCACAATTTCACCTGTCATCCATGGTTCCCTAATCTTGCCCTTTCTATCCCTCATTTTTACAGGGACATGTCTGTCCTGCACTCTGATCAACCTCTCTTTAAAAGCCTCCCGCATATCAATTGTGGATTTACCCTCAAACAGCTGCTCCCAATCCACATTCCCCAGCTCCTGCCGAATTTTGCTATAGTTGGCCTTCCCCCAATTTAGCACTCTTCCTTTAGGACCACTCTCGTCTTTGTCCATAAGTATTCTAAAACTTACGGAATTGTGATCACTATTCCCAAAGTAATCCCCTACTGAAACTTCAACCACCTGGCCGGGCTCATTCCCCAACACCAGGTCCAATATGGCCCCTTCCTGAGTTGGACTATTTACATACTGCTCCATAAAACCCTCCTGGATGCTCCTTACAAATTCTGCTCCATCTAAACCCCTAACACTAAGTGAATCCCAGTTAATGTTGGGAAAATTAAAATCTCCCATCACCATCACCCTGTTGCTCCTACATCTTTCCATAATCTGTCTACATATTTGGACCTCTATCTCATGCTCGCTGTTTGGGAGGCCTGTAGTACAGCCCCAACATTGTTACCGCACCCTTCCTACTTCTGAGCTCTGCCCATATTGCCTCACTGCTCGAGTCCTCCATAGTGCCCTCCTTCAGCACAGCTGTGATATCCTCTTTGACCAGTAATGCAACTCCTCCACCCCTTTTACCTCCCTCTCTATCCCGCCTGAAGCATCTATATCCTGGGATATTTAGTTGCCAATCTTGCCCCTCCCTCAACCAAGTCTCAGTAATAGCAATAGCATCATACTCCCAGGTACTAATCTAAGCCCTAAGTTCATCTGCCTTACCTACTACACTTCTCGCATTAAAACAAATGCACCTCAGACCACCTGTCCCTTTGCGTTCATCATCTGCTCTCTGCCTACTCTTCCCCTTAGTCACACTGACTTCATTATCTAGTTCCTTACAAGCTTTAGTTACTACCTCCTTACTGTCTACTAACCTCCTCGTTTGGTTCCCATCCCCCTGCCACATTAGTTTAAACACTCCCCAACAGCGTTAGCAAAAGCACCCCCTCGGACATTGGTTCCAGTCCTGCCCAAGTGTAGACCGTCCGATTTGTAATAGTCCCACCTCCCCCAGAACCGGTCCCAATGTCCCAGAAATCTGAACCCCTCCCCCTCCTGCACCATCTCTCAAGCCACTCATTTATCCTGCCTATTCTTACATTTCTACTCTGACTAGCACGTGGCACTGGTAGCAATCCTGAGATTACTACCTCTGAGGTCCTACTTTTTAACTTGGCTCCTAACTCCCTAAATTCTGCTTGTAGGACCTCTTCCCATTTTTTACCTATATCATTGGTGCCTATATGCACCACGACAGCTGGCTGAATGATTTAAAAAAAAAGACCCGAGGGGGTAACTTTTTCACAGAGGGTGGTGTCTATATGGAATGAGATAGTAGTGGAGGCAGGTGCAATCACAGCACTTAAAAAGACACCTGGATGGGTATATGAAAATGAAGGGTTTAGAGGGACATGGGCCAAATGCTGGAAAATGGGACTAGGTCAGATTGGGATGTCGAGTCGGCATGGACAAGTTGGACCGAAGGGTCTATTTCCGTGCTACATGTCTCTGACTGAGAAATTTCTCTCTTCCTGCCAAATGTAGCTCATGATTTACTAAGAGTGGAGATTGTCAGTTCATCATGTCAAAACTCATGTCCAACACCTCCTAAAATACATACATTGGAACAGCACATGTTGCACCACTGCACAATTTCATTAGGGAATTTTCACCACCAGAGTCTTGCTCAGCGTGAAACGAAGGTGTCAACAATGTAAGGTTACCACAGTGCTTATCGAATCTATGAAGGAACAGCTGTAACTATTAATAAAATTTCCCCAGTATTCCCTACAATTTTGTCATGACTTTGCTGACTCTCCAGTAATATTGAGTTTCTACAACTGAAACCAAATTTAAGGTTATCCTGTTCTATGTTGCAATGGATAGTGTCAACTATCGACAACACCGCTAACAAAAACAGACCTCAAAAATTCCAGAAGCCATCTGATTACCTGAGATTGTGGATCTCTTCACAGAGCACCACCACCACCCCCAATTCCCCCCCACCCCCACCCGCAAATGGTTCAAGGATCCAGCGAGAAAGTCCTCTAAACCTCTTGGTGTCCTGTTCTGAGTAACATCGACCCAGAATGTAAACCAAACAGAAACCTTTTTGGGTACATTACAACAACTTTGTATTGGCATCAGAACATTAAAACCCACCTGGCCCATACACTGGCTGCGTAGGTAGCGCATGGCTTGCTGGATGCTTTGAGGGATTGGTTGACCTGACCTCTTCACATTTACAATTGGTGGAACACCAAACACATATTTGCTTCTGTAATCTGGTTCCTTGCTCCTTTTCATGAACTTGGGAACACCCCTGTGAAACAGGACAAGAATTAATAATATACCAAACCCTGTCTGCTGATGACAATATTTAAGAGTAAAATTACAGTCAGTCTAATTATTGACAAATTTCAATGAATTTGTTCTTTTTAATTTTTTTCCTCTTAGCCTCGTGATCGAAGGTGAAATTAATCCTTTGAATGTTTCGGAGAGAAATGGACCATTCTTGCATTTTCTATTTTTTTTGAAAATTATATGTTCATTTCTCCTAAATTGGGTCCAAATTTCCTCCTGGCCAAGCGCTGGATAGATATCTGTTCAGGCTGAGCCAAGGCCAGATTTGATGAAGCCTCTCATGGACTAGGGGTGCCACTGGATCATTGTAATATGTAGAGATTTATGTCTGCAACAGAAAGTGGTACATGGCAGCAGGCCTGTGTAACCCAATGGTCCGATGGAAGCTGAAACCAAAGTATTCCACTTCCCTATCGTCATGTCAGCAAATCTGCCTGAATGGATTCACTGAACATCGAAATATAAATATTATATACGTTTCTGGGAGGAGCTAGTCAGCTATTAGTGTGGGTCAGTTCTACAGCCAATAGCCATGAAGTATATACGTAGTTACTATTTCTTAGGAGCTAGCAATTTCTCTTAACCATTGTTAATGTAGTTAACCAATCTTAAACTGATGTAGACTTATCATATTATTGTGTAATAAACTACTTATTACCCAAGCATGTGCCTCGTCTGCTCAAGACTTAACATGGTTAATTCTTCACCATTCGATATTAGTAATCTCTCCAGACTAGCAATACGAAGAGGGTCAGTGGCAGCATATTTACCCAGAGAAGATCTTATTACAACTAACTACCAGTAGCAAGCATCTCTTTGGAGTTAAGACTCACTCAGAGATAGCAAGAACTGCAGATGCTGGAGTCAGAGATAACACAGTATGGAGCTGGAGGAACACAGCCGGCCAGGCAGCATCAGAGGAGCAGGAAAGTTGATGTTTCGGGTCGGGACTCTTCTTCAGAAATGAATGAAGACCCAAAAAAGAGCTTTCTTTTTGAAGAAGGGTCCTGACCTGAAATTTCCTGTCCTGTCAACTGTCCTGCTGCTCTCATGCTGCCTGGCCTGCTGTGTTCTGCCAGTTCCACGCTGTGTTATCTCTTTGGAGTTAACTTTGGCTTAGACCTGTCTGAGGCTCCCAGTGTAATGCTCAACACCAGTTATTTGCATCTGGTGTTCCTCCTCTGTAACTACAAAGGCACTGAAGTTGTATATTGAATATCCCATTCTACTCGGTGAACATCTAAACTCTGGTTCAGCACCTACCACAGATGAAGATTTAGTTCTACCCACTTCACCCCTTTTCCTGACTTCAAGAGAAAAATTTTGAGGTATCTGGCGAGTGACCAATTCATTATCAATCATTTTGCAGTGCTACCAAAGTTGAATTTCACACCCTAAATCCTGCTTTAGGCTTTTGATTTCTGTATCCGGTCCTCCAGTTCTCATTTTGCTTTCCAAATTCCTTCCCTTTGTTTACCTTTCTTCACAGTATACCGCTCTTGTTTTGTTTTTGCACAAAGAATTTCAATCTGTTTCCACCCTTTGTGAGTTTTTAAACTATTCAACCATAGCCCCCAGCCCCACAACCAAGCTTATTTTCCACATTTCCTCTCCTCGCTCACTGCTGTCATATGATATAACCTACATCCATTCCCACAGCTGCAAGGAGGAAACCATCTGCAAAGTTTGGAGGACCAAAGGCTGCAGTTGGACTACCTCCAAGACCTGTGGATTCCTGTTATTGTGTATTCTGTGTCTGGTTACAGTCAGTATGACAAGACAATAGCAGGATTCACTTCCAATCGGATGCTTTTTTATCTTCAAGGAAACATTAAGGATGAATCTTCTTGATCACTAGTACGCAGTCCAGTAACAGTGCACTGCCAGCTCCTGAAACTACTAAACAGATTCCAATTATTGAATGCACAAGGGAGGGACTATTTTGGCAATCTACTAACGCAAAATATCTGATTTTACTTCAGCTCCAAGGTCACAAGTTCAAATTCTGCTGAATACGAATGGGTTGTTTGACATGGAACATGGACCACAATTCTAACAGAGGCAGAGTCAACCTTACACCATTCTCAGACATTTCCTGGAGGCTGGATTCACATCCTTAAAGGAAGGAGTCTGGCAGCTTAATTTCCATCTGACCTGTTGACCAAAGCATGAGAGACCCAAACCAAAGACAACAACAAAACAATCACAATCTCACAATGCCTCAAATGAATATAGTAGAACTAAGCCCACCACAGAAGTTTTACATGCCTATACTGTGTTGAATGAAATGATATCAACTGGGGTGACTACAAAAGTGCTATAATTGATTAAGCAGAGCAGAAAAATATAATACAGGATGACTTCACCCTATCACTTTGCTGAGAACTGTGCCTACATGACATTCCTGAATAGAGGGGTGAACACTGAGTACTTAGCAGTTTCATGGATGAGCATGCCTTAGGGTTCTGACGGCCGTCATAACAGAGATTATCAATAATCAACTAGCCAATTTTCTGGACTGGATTCTTGTCTACAGGTGACTTCTGGCAATCTGTTTTTCAACAAAGAAATCATTTAAAACCACCAACTGAATTTCAATCTGCGACTCATTGATTCTTAATTCCTTTGCATGGAATTATCTGCATGTTAGATTTGGTTACAGACAATTAATATTGTCCTTAATAGGAAATCTAAATGTCACTTTTCCCATTTGCTTTGAACAGCATACAGTTCATATCTAATCAGAACCAGTAACAGATCTGGCTCTGACACAGTGCAAGCAGTGGAGAGATAAACATTGCAATTTCTCTCCTGACCACAGAGCCCACAAGAATAGAACAAATATAGCAAATGAGAAAAAAAGTGAGACCCCATTTTCGCTGCATGAACTTTGGGTACTGACCAGTTCCAGCCCTGCTTGTTACGGACAGCATATCTTTCCATGATGGCAGTCAGGCGCAGTAAAGAGAAACGTTGCAGAAGGTTAAGCTGAGCTGCCGATTGTCTGTTGATTTCCAACGAAGCAGAATTCAGGCTTGGACGGTGGGAGTTCTGGAAACTGTGCCAGCGGAGCTTCCTGTGGAACAAAAATGCAGCTATTAAGTTGAGATACCAAATACTAAGGCTGCCAACACATGCAAGATACTCAGGATCAAACTGCCAGCGTAAATCATAGAAGGCAAACAATGCAAACCTCTGTCACTGACCATATTCAAGCATGGAAGGCAGAGGAAAGCTCCCAATTTAAATATTCCAGGTGAGTTCCTGGATCATTACAGGGAGCAAAGCAGAAGTCACAGACAGTCGTGATACCAGCATGAAGGCAGGCTGCCACAAAGCTTTTCAGTTCCCTTACAAAGGGATCTATTTTTCCCAGGCATTGTCATAATTAAACTATGTCCAAACCAGCTTACTTTCATATTACATTTTGCTATTGTGCCCCTTTCTGTACTGGTACAAACCCATTCTGTTATGCTCAATTTACTTTGTGCACAGGTTAAGTGAAAGTGAACTGCCAGTCAGAGAGGGATGAAGAATGACAGAATAATTTTACTCCTATTGCAATGCACATCTGACCAAGCTTTGGGAACAGGGGAGGCAGTAAACATAATAGTTGCATCAAGGTGCCATGTGCTTACTTAATAACCTTGCAAGGAAATGCATGTTAAAAAGCCATGGTTACAACAATAAAATATTAGCTCTGCTCACTTTACACACGAGATAGACAGGCCACCGGGAGGATCAGTACTTGGACCTGAGCTACTTACTAAAGGAGTTAAGTAGAAAACAAAATAAGCCTTTCAACCTTCTGGATTTGACCGTAGAACAGTACAACCACTCACGCAGATGGAGAAATCTCAACGGCCAAAACAAAACCCAGTAAGCCATCAGCATCCTGGGGGTTACCACTGACCAGAAACTGAACTGGTCTAGCCATATAAACAGTGGCCACAAGAGCAGGTCAGAAGGTAGAACTCCTACATGAAATAACTCATTTCCTGACTCACCAAAGCCTGTCCACTATGTACAAGACAAGTCAGGAACTTGATGGAATACTCTCCACTTCCCTGGATGGGTGTAGCTCCAACAACACTCAAGAAACCTGACAACATCCAGGACAAAGCAGCCCACTTGACTGACACCACATCCACAAGCATCCAAACCCTCCATCACTAACACTCAGTAGCAGCAGAGTGTACTATTCACCAGATGCAAAAATTTACGAAGACACTTTGGAAACACCTTTTAAACCCATTACTACCATCTAGAAGGACAAGGGCAGCAGGTACATGGGTACACCACATCACACAAGTTCTACTCCAAGTCACTCAAAATCCAGACTTAGAACTACATCACTGCTCCTTCACTGTCACTGGGCAAAAATCCTGAAAATCCCTTCCTATTAGCATTGTGGGTCTACCTACAACAAATGGACTGCAGCAGTTCATGAAGAAAGCTCTCCAATACCTTCAACGGCAATTAAGGATAGGCAATAAATTCTGGCCTAGTCAAAGGCCACACCCCATGAATTAATAAAGTTTCACTAAACTGTGTTTGATCTCCCATTAACAAAAGAACTAACTCATTTTTAATCCACACTAACTTTGATCCAACTGCAACAATTCCAGTTTCTCTCTTATACAGGCTCCAGCAAAACATTGCAAATCCTCAACTCCACCTCAGAATGCTTAGAAGATGCACTGACATGTTTGGAAGGGAGGCCTCTAGTCTCCCAACAGCTATCTCTGTATGGCCTAATGACTTCAGAAGGAGGCAGGAAACAGAATACATTTGTATTGAAGAGTCATGGCTGTTCCCAGGATCCCTTCAAGGATAGTTGTGATCATGATGATTGCTCGGATGGGACTGCCACCCAGTCCTTCAAAGCAGAAGTCCTTTTCCAGTGGACAGCATTTGGAGATGACGAACCAGAACATCCTTAAATCAGCATCGGCACAGCCAGACAGTTGAAGCAAATGACAGCAAGGCCCATAGGTGCAAGATCTCATAGTTCTCCCCTACCTCCATGGTCAATCTTCACCTGCTTCTGCTTCCCCTGGAGGTTGTCGGTCTGCTGGGTTTGCTGACAAGGTTGAATCACAGAATCCCTATGGTGTGGAAGCAGGCCATTCAGCCAATCAAATCCACACTGACCCTCTGAAGAGCATCCCACCCAGACCCATCCACCACCCTATCCCTATTACACTGCATTGACCATGGCTAATGCGCCTAGCGTGCACTTCCCTGGACACTATGGGCAACTTAGCACGGCCAGTCCACCTAATCTGCACATCTTTGGACTGAGGGAGGAAACCGGACCATCCAGAGGAAACCCACGCAGAAATGGGGAGAATGTGCAAACTCCATACCAACAGTTGCCAAGGGTGTAATCAAACCCAGGTCCCTGGCACTGTGAGGTAGCAGTGCTAACCACAGCCACTGTGCCACCCTGGTTGTAACAGAAATCTTTGTATTTTTCAACATTTTCTTTGGAATAGTGCTAAAGCCAAAATTATGCCAATAACAGCATGCTCCATGTAAGGTCTGTGAGCAAGAAATAAAAGCGAAATATAGTCCATATCACAGACTGTGTCCTTGAATACTTACAATTCAATGCTCATAAGTTTCCATTTCTAAATGCTTTTCTAATTACAGTTGCTTAGCTGATATGACAAGGATACAATTATTAAACACACAGTAATGATGATTGTTTGAGAGAATAATCTTTTATTTTGCTTTCATACAATAAAAATATACTACTGAAAAAGAGACAAAATGAAGCCAGGTGGGTGACATTACTGAAGCAATAGAGGCACAATTACTGCCGGGTCTTAAATTCCTCAAGTATTATTCTGCCCCAAAGAGATAAAAAGCAACTTACTCCATGCACTTTCCACGAACTGTCAGTCACTTTGTATTATTGTGCAGTTGACTTTCAATCGAGCATGGCAACTTTGTTTCTGTGCAAGTGACTTGCACATTCTGCCTGTGATGCATGAACTCCCCTCCCATCCTTCATGTTCCCTTTCGTCTTGCATTCCTGTGGGTCCTGTGACCTTTCAACCATCCACCGATTCCCTCACTCACTGTTTCTAGTGAGCCTTAAACACAACTATTAATATATGCCCACTTTACCCTCAGAGCCCTTGACTTTAGAATTTTGTCTCTCTTTTCTGGCCCTACATCTAGGCGGCAGAGTTACTATAGCCTGTTTGAACCCTCTTCCATTCCAGAACTCTCAGTTCCTCTCCAACTCACTTTGAGGTCCCAACCTATTTTCAATTATCCCTGTCACTGTCACCATTCCCTCAGCACCCCAGTACATTAAAGCCTGGAGTTGCCCATTTATCCTCGGTCACCATGGACTGCTCCCTGATGGGCATCCTGACCATTACTGATGAAACATTCGAGGCCCAGACTGACATGGTTGGTTCTGACTGACCACAGTTCACCGTCTGGAATGGCATCTCAACAGCATCCTTAAAGACCTATCTGTAATCCCCCAGCTACTTGCACAGGAACTTTTGGAATGACTGCAGCCTGATCCCCAGACTGTAAAGAACATGGGTCCTCAGATGTGTAGGATCAGTCACCTGAGTGACCGTAGTCAAAACCCTGGAAGCCTCCAATGAAACAGTAAAGCAAATGAGTGGCAAGACAGCAGGTTAACAGCCCTAAGATACATCCAATATAGATGCATGAGATGCATGTCCCCCATGTGCAAAAGTACCTGACAGATGCATGCAAGTCATGTGTCCCTGATCTCCAACGTAAGTGTTTGAAGGGACAATATAGTGCACGAGTAGGCCAGGAAAAAGCATGATGAGGTTGGTGGCTTGCTGATGCCAACTTATATAAAAGTTCAGGCATTGGTAGACACAACACCTGCTGATTTTGGGCCAAAATACCGCAGACGCTGAAAATCTAAAACAAACACAAACACTGGAGAAACTCAGTTCTGAAGAAGAATCATACCAGACTCAAAACATTAACTCTATTTCTCTCTCCACAGATGCTGCCAAACTTGGAGTTTCTCCAGCTTTGTGTTCGTTTCCCCAGCTGAACTCCTTCCTTCTTGTTCCAACACAGGGAAGCAGCAGCCAATTGCTGTGCCATAACGGATGTTTTGAGCATAGGTCAGGATCCAAACATTGTCAAAACATTTTTACATTTGAAAGTTGATGAATTGATGCAAATTACAATTATGTAAATCTGTATAAATATTCAGAAAGAATTGGATACAAGAAAGTTTTGCATTCTGAAAGTACATCATTTCACTCAAAGACTTCTGAAACTGTTTCAGAGTGAAAGTACAGTGACTGCAGTTATGAAGACAAATGCAGCAACTACTTTCCACCCAAGAAAATTTGTCCTTTTTATATCTGTTGAATAAGATAATTCATTTTCAACAGCTTTTGTAACATGAATGTCGGACAGAGCAAATTGTACTTTGAAATCTTCAACCAAACTACCAAAACAGGATCTCAATCTATCATCTTATCTGAGGAATAAAATAGCAGTGATCAAACAGAATACCAATTTCCAGTCTTCTTTTTACCAGGAACAATTCTAATCACAAGTGACACATAGATGATCTATTTCTAATGACGCAACACAAAATATCAATCAGATTTGTCTTTGCGCTGTCAAGTTCTGTCTGCAAATCTCCCACCAGGTATTCCTTTCTCGTCTCTACCCAGACAACGCACAATACCTGAGTTGCAAAGTGAAAACCCCCACAGGTGGCACAAGATTGTGCACAATGATCCAAGTACAATATTCAGTCTTTCTGAAGATCCCCCTTCCCTAAGAAGGGAGAAAAGTTCAGTAAATGACACAGTCTTCAGAAGCAGAACAAGAGTTTGGATTTAAAACCAAAAGAAGAACTGTGGATGCTGTAAATCAGAAACAAAAACAGAAGTTGCTGGAAAAAACTCAGCAGGTCTGGCAGCATCTATGAAGAAAAAAAAAATCAATTAACGTTTCAGGTCCGGTGACCCTTCCTCAGTTCCCGAAACTGGACCTGAAACGTGAACTCTGATTTTTTCTTCACAGATGCTGCCAGACTGCTGAGCTTTTCTGGCAACTTCTGATTTTGTTCAAGAGTTTGGATTCCTTATCTGTACAGAGATAATAGATTTCAGTCCAGGCTGGTAAGGACAGTACAAATAAATTAAGTTCCTTTAGACTGGGATTGCGTGAAATTACTAGAGCATCAACCCCACTCCAAAGCAATTCTTGACGTGAAAGCTTCAGTAATAGCTACTAAGCAGTTATCTGAGGAATACATCAGAGGTGACTTCTTCTTCTCCTTATCGAATGCTCTCACATGTACTATTACAAGAAATTTGAAAATTTACAATGTTTAAAAATCAGAAGTGTTTTATAGCAGACTGGAGAACATCTACTGCCACCTTCAGGACAAACCAGTGCTGAGCAATAAACTTCCCTAATCTTCAGAGGTCAGTGTCACAAATGAGTGACAAAATAATCAAAAAACATATTGTAAAAGGATATTTTATTGATGACCCAGATGATACATCAAATAAAAGTTAGAGATAACTAACCTGTTTGGTCGGGTTAATGAAGCCCCTACTCCAGAATCTCTCCGCTCCCTGATCTCTATCTCTTCAGTTTCAATTACAGAATTCCCAGTGCTGTCAAAATCACTTGCAGAGGTCCCCACGTCAGACATAGAGCGGTCTTCAAAATTCAGACCTTGCAACGGAAAAACTGTCTCACCAGTAGAGTCAGATTCTGTGTCATTAAATTCTGTGCCATTAAATTCTGTGCCATTGAATTCTGTGCATATAGTTTTTGACCAGAGGCCCACAGACTCCTGTAACCCATTGACATGCTTCAAAACATCATCTAATTGTTTGAAGAGGTCCTCACGCCCAGCTGCATCATTGTATGGATGAGACTCAGGCACATTATCATAAATACTCTGCTTGCTCCCAATGGAGCTACATGAACCCGTTCGTCCCTGAAGCACGAGTCCTTGTAAGTTGCTGATGCTACTGCATGCAGACATTCCAAAGGACAGATTTTCTGATTTCCAGTTCACTAAATGATCACCTGCACCTGGACACAGGCTTTCTATGGAAAGGGCTTTGGGGAAGGTCCCTACTTTGTGGTTTGCCGGGATACGGACAACATAGTCTTCATGAGAATAAAGCTCATCTTTTCTGTTATGGTTGGAGGCCATAAGCCCAGTTTCACAGTTCTCCAAGAATAGTCCACTGTGCATTATGCTGTGGCTGCTTCGAGAGTTGAAAGCCTTAGTGTGTTTTCTGTGTCCAGAGTCAACAAGAGATGCAAAATTAGATTGAGATACATCCTCTATTAAGCCCTTTGGGGTCTTATTCAGTGTTTTCAAAGGACTGGTGCTCTGTAAAGGTTCATGTTGCTGTTGTGATACTGTCCTGACACTTCTTCGTTCTTTGCTCTTTGAAAGGGTTTTGCCTTTACCCCGAAGAGTTCTAAATCGAAGAGATTCAATTCGTCTCAGAAAGCTCTTAGTCCTGTGTTTTCTGGGGTTCTCCAAGAAGTCTAGAGTAGTTTGTGTTCCAGTGGAAACAAAGTTGTCATTTGAGCAATCATTATTCTTTTGTGCTGCTTGAGAATGAACAATCACGACACTCCCTGGACTTTCCTTTGGTTCCAGCTGACTGCCTGAATAATGACATAACAACTCCTCTTGGATGCTCCCAGCACTGCCGTTGCTGCAATGTTCAGAACAAGCCTCAGGATCACTAAGGTCAGAGAGCATACTCTCCCGACTGGCTGACTCCTTCATTGTCGAGCTCAGTATCTCAGCACGGTTTGACAGGAAGTCAACAGTTGTCAACCGAGACCATCTTTTGCTATCTTGCTGAAATGCCCAGCGATCACTGATTGCGCAGAGATCATCTTCTTCAGAATCATCACCCTAGAAAAATAATGCCACAGTAGTTACAATAAGGTCACATGAGGGGAAAAGGACAGAAGTAAACCCTGCCTTTAATTGTGCTCCACCCTGGTTCCAAATACCAATTGTAACACAAATGCTACTCCTTTTCCCTTCTGCAGCAGAAAACACAATCATGCCTCGCAGCTTAGTGGTGTCTGTACTGGACTATTTTTGAAGATAACAGCAACAAAAATCACATGAAAGTGAGACGATTGCACTCATTTATTTTAACAATAATTAGTGCAAATCGCTTTGGCCTATTTTGTGTCAACTAACTCAAGGAACAGACGAATAGAGTTGAGAGAATTTGTTATTTCTAATAATTTGTACTACATTGACTGTGAAACATTTTAGCATGTCCTGAGGTTATAAAAATCTATAAAAGTGCTTTTGTCCTCAAATTTTGTTTTGTTATTATTGCTTTGCAGAATGTCATTAGTGATGGAGATCATGTTCAGTACCTTGTTACTTTGCACTCCATAGTCTTTTGCAATGTGTTTTATTTGGTACCACATTTGGGAAACAACCATAAGCCCTCCTTGGACAGCTGCTGAAAATCATTTGTCTCCCCTTTCCTGAACCACTAAACAAAAAATCTCTCTTCACTAGACAGCAGGAAGCTCCCCTCCTCCAGACTGCCACCACACCATAAATAAAGAGAAACCTCAGTCAAATCAGGCACTTTGATTTTCATGCCATCATCTTAGCACCCACATGTGGTTTTCCTCTGTCTCACCCATTGGCTTGGCGGAACAGTGCCATGTCATCATCAACTCATGGCAGGGCAAACTACTGAGGCAGGTGCTGAGCTCTCGAGATGCTGCCAGTTAATTTTGAACGCTTTTGGTCACCCAACCTAGCAAATCAAAGGAACGCTTGATTAAGTCTGAACAGGGACAATAAAATTGACATCGAGTCTTCCATACATCCTAGTTGCAGGTCTTCCATCACTGTCATTCAACTATGATCTTTGCCATGGTTGGTAATTATCCTCTATGCCAAAGTTAGATTTGAATAGAGAATTTTTACACTGGCACAATAATCTGGGTGGAAGAACTGCAGGTGGCCATTGAGTGTACATCCTATTACACAATCCAGGTTAGAGGACAAGAGATAGGGCACCTTCAGACAGGTAAGGAATTAGAGGGTGGAACAGTGACATTAGGTTAGAACTCAGGATGTGGAGCAGGGGTTCTTTATTTCTGGTATGAGACTCAGCAAAGAGATGGTCAGTGTGAAGGAGACTATAGCTTGAGAGAGACAAAAGGCCAAATGAGCGCACTGCCAGAAATTTGGTTCAAAGTGGAAATTCAATGGTATTTCCTTTTCAAGTTCAATTTTAAAAATAAAGTTAGATTAAAACAACAGCCTTTAGATTCTTTTTCATTCAACCTGTTATGACATGCCTGAAGCATGGTGGGACTTGAGCCCTGGCCTTCTGGCTCAGAGACAGGGAAACAATAGCCTTCAATTATACTAGCTCAGATAAAGGAGGCAGTTGTCTAACTGTGGGAGTTAGAATTCAAGCACCTAAACTCCTCTGTCTAAATGAGGTAGTGATCACTGGAACTAAGAAGCAACTGAGTAGATCCATTTAAGAAAGGTATTTCTTGCACCACTCAGCAAGGAAGGAGCATGGTTCATGTGCAGGAGATCTCAGCTCCGGGCCGAATCAATGTACTGCTGGAAATTTGGTTCAAAATGGAAATGTAAAAAGGGGAACATACACTGGTAGTAGTCTACAGGACCCCAGCAGTGGCTTTATGGGTGGACAGAGAATGAATCAGGTGATAACAAAGGCATGTTGAAAAAAAAGACAGTACACATTAACAATGGGTGACTTTAACCTTCATAGAGATTAAAAATGTCAGATTGGCAGAGATAGCTATGACCAAAGAATTCAGAGAGTCTATTTAGGACAGTTTCCCAGAACAACATATTGTGAATCCAACCAGGGTTAAAGCTATTTTGAATCTGGTGATGTGTAATAAATGATTTGAGAACGAAAGATCACCTCGGAAATAGTGATCATAACATGACATAAATTTACCAGTTTGAGGGGGAGAATCTTCTCTTATTAAACCATAAGAAAAAGTAACATGAGTAGGCCATTTGGCCCCTCAAACCTGTTCAGCCATCAACAGGATCATGGATGATCTGACATTCCTCATATCTACTTTTCTGCGTTTTCCCCACAACCTTGGGTTTCCCTATTGGTCAAACATCTACCTATCTCAGCCCTAAATATATACAAGGATTCTGCTCCCCACAGCTTTCTGCGGCAAGGAGTTTCAAAGACCCTGAACCCTCAGAGAAGTTCCTTCTCATCTCAGTCTTAAATTGGTGTCCTTTTATTCTGAGACTATGCCCTTTGGTCCGAGACTCTCTCATGAGGGGAACATTCTCTCAGCAGTTACCCTGCTAGCCCTTTAAGAATCCTACATGCTTCATAACATCACCTCTCATTCTTCTGAGTTCCACCGAATACAGTCCCAACCTGTTTAGCCTGTGCTCAGAAGACAATCCTTCCAAACTAGGCGTCATCCTAGTGATTTTTTTCTGAACTGCCTCCAATGAAATGAGATCTTTCCTTAAACAAGGGGAACAAAACTGCTCACGGTACACCCAGATGTGATCTCACCAATACTTTGTACCATTGCAGTCAGACTTCCCTACTCTGATTCTCCAACTCCCTTGAAATAAGGGCCAACATTCTATTAAGGTTCCTGATTACCTGTTACAACTGTGTACTAATATTTTTTTTGTTTTGTGCTTAAGTACCCCCAATGTCCTTTGTGCTGCAGGTTTCTAAAGTTTTTCTCTGTTTGAATTTTTTTTTGTTATCCTTTCCAAAATGAACAACGTCACATTTTCCCACAGTATACTCTCTTGCCAACTTTGTGCTCACTTACTTAACCTATCAATACCTCTCTAAACCTTATAGTTTGCATTCATCTCGCAACCGGCTTTCCCACCAACTTGTGTGTATAACTGCACTAAGCTTTAGAAAAAGGGGTGATTACAAGGGAATAAGGGCAGAGCTAGCTGAAAAGGATTTAGCAAAGTCATTTGAGGAGTAATGGCAGATGTTTAAGAAAACAGTTCATGGCTCACAGCAAAGATGTCTCCCAACGAGAAAGTGGGGGAGGGTTGGGTGGGGGGTTGCGTCTAAGAAGGGGATAAGACAGTTAACCAGCAAAGTTAAGGATAGCATCAGATTGTATGTTCTTCTTTTAAAGTGGCGAAGATGAATGGTAAGTCAGAGGATTGGGAATGTTTTAAAACTCAACAAAAGACAACAAAAAGAACTAAAGAGGGAGAAGATAAATTTAAGGATAAGCTTGCAAGTAATGTCAAGAAGGACCACAACAGCTTCCTTAAATATATATAAAAACAGAGAAGTCCAAGTTAACATTAGCCCCTTAGAGAACAAGGTGAGTAAAGGGAACCAGGAAATGGCACAGGAGTTGAGTAAATACTTTGCATCAGTCTTCACAGCAGAAGACACTAATAGCATTCCAAAAATGCTGAATAATCTGGGGGCAAAAGGAGGAGAGAAAATAAATGTAATAACGACCATTAGAGAAAAGGTCATTATCAGGTCTAAAGACTGATAGGTTCCCTAGACCTGATCAGATGTATCCAAGGATATGAAAAATAAGCAAACTTTTCTCTAACTGGCACCCAGTGAACCAGCACTCTTGATAAACTGGCAAAAGTTATATACCTCAAATACCGGAAGTTTGCTGTATTATGATCTCCGCAACGTCTGAGTAGTCGGTTAAGGATGCAAGTGAGAAGGCTCTCTGCCTGTAAGTTTTATTTAAGGCGAAGTTGTACAATTATTTAAGCGATTTATGTTCTAAGTATAACAGGGATATATATACCCCCTGCATTACTTAGTGTGTTTTTACACTGCTCAAGTGGTCCACATAATCAACGGCACACTCCTGATCCCATAGGGGCCAGTTAATAAAAGAGATAGCAGAAGTAATAATCCTCCAAGAGGAATTATATTCTGGAAAAAAAATCCCAGAATATTGGAAAGTTGCCAATTTAACACCTTTATTTAAAGAGGGAAGGAGGCACAAAAAATACAGGTATTTACAAGCCAGTTAGCACCTATCATGGGAAAACATTAGTCTATTATAAAGGATGCAACAGCAGAGCATTTAAAAATAGACAATACAATCAAGCAGAGTTAGCATGTCTTCATAAAGAGGAAAATATACCCGAAATTTATTAGGATTCTTTGAGGAGGTAATAAGCAGGATAGATAAAGGGGATGTACTGTGTTTGAATTTTCAGGATTTCCATAAAGAGACTACACAAAAACACCATTGTGCTGTAGGTAGTATATTAGCATGGACAACTAGTCAATTACAGAAGTGGGATAAGGGAGGTAATTTTCAGGAAAGCAAGCTGTAACTTGTGGAGTGCCAGATCAGCATTGGGGCCACAATTATTTATAATTACTGGTTAATGGAATTACTACAGCCAAGTCTGAAGATGACAAAAATAGTGAAGGCAAAGACGTGTGAATGAGATGAAGGTGGCAGAGAAATATAAAACAATTAAGCAAATGGGCAAAACTTGGCAAATGGATTATATTGTGGGAAAATGTGAGGCTATGTACTTTGGCAGGGAGAATAAATGAGCTGAATATTATTTAAATACAGAAATCTACATCAGACAGGGATTTGGGATTCCACATGCATAAATCACAAAAAGCTAGTATTCAAGTTCAGAGGGTAATAGGGAAGGCAAAAGGAACGTTAGCCTTTATTTTAAAAGGAATAATGTATAAAATAGGGAGGTCTTGTTAAAACTACACAAGACATTTGGCAGAACACAGCTGGAATATAGTGGACAGTTTTGGGCAGAGATGAGGAGGAATCTCTTCTCTCAGAGTAGCGAATCTGTGGAATTCTTAACTGCAAAGAGCTGTAAGATTGTGTTGTTAAGTATATTCAAGGTCAAGACAGATTGATTTTTAATCAGTACAGGAATTAAGGGTTATGTGGAAAGGCTGGAAAATGGAGTTGAGGATTATCAAATCAGGCATAATCTCATTGAATGGTGGAGCAGACCTGATGGGCTAACGGGCCTCTGCTACAACATCTTATGGTCTTAACAATTGGTCTCTCAGCTCTATAAAGTGATGTATTCCTCATGAAAACAGGATTCAGGCAGAATCATTTACACCAGATGCTTCCCCTATCAAAACTTTTCCTCTTTTAAAAAATATTAGCCAATGCAGCTATACCAAATTATGCAAAACAATATGAAAAAAGTATGTCTCATTTTCAAAAACTTTGTAACTGGCAACTAGGCCTCTAACCATAAAAAAAACAGAAAAGCTGTTGCTAGGAAGAAAAGTGACCAGTACAATTATTCAAGAATGCTTACCGACTTCCTGTTGATGTTGACATCAAGCTTTATAGAAGCATATTTGTTTAGGGTCATCAGCCGCCTGAGGAGAAACAAAATTAAATTAAGCTGTTTTATCCACACGTCTGATTCATAGTATCGACTTTCCAACCTCATCTATAAATCCTTCTCCAAACTCAGGTTTATTTTCCAGGGTATATAACGTAATGTCAATCAGCAGGCCTCACTCCTGTAGCACTGACATTTCCTCCACAGCAACTCCCCAGACTTTTTCATGTAGATTTCCTCTGTCCTCTCCTGATGGTGTTGACTCTTGCTGCTGTACAATTCAACAGTACCAGCTGTCCTCCAGCACCTAGCCTATGTCTCCACACTATGAATGGATAAATACTAAATTGGTTCATATCTGAAGCCTACAGTCTACATCTGACATTTACTTTCTACCAAGACTCACTGCAGTGATCAGAAACATGACCTGGAGCACAGTTTGCAGGTCTAGCTCAGGGGCATTCTGGAACTACTGAGACTGGATTACTCAGCACAGATCCAGAATCAAACTTAGTATCTTTCCTCTACATCACACAGTGTGCCAGAAGCTGGAATTTGGAATGAAGTGGTTATCTTGGCACCCTAACCAGCCAAATTACATGATAACTGATTTTTCTCCATCCACCACCCAAACAGGCATCGCAGTTAAGGGAAACCACCACAGACTGCAGCAAACTAGAAGGACATCTGTAAGGATGGCAGATAGGAGAACAGCAGATTATTTCTCAGAGTCACACAGAAGTGCTGGAGACCATTAGCCAGATTTTGAGTCAAACAAATTTGTAAAGAGGTGGGGTTGAAGTGACCTTGAATAAACTTTGAAACACAAGATCACCATAAAGCAGATGATACTGGATTTTGCAATAATTAATGCAAATCTCTTGCTGACTACAACAGCACCACAGAAATGTTCCACATGACAAGTCTGCAGACCTTTCCAGGAAGTGAGCTATGTTTAGTTCTCATTCAAAATCTGGTCCTCTGCACAAAAAGGAACCACTGAGACACACCAGATTAATAAACATGGTAAATTAGCCTGTGGAAACTGAAGCCATCATCAATGGCTTGCACTGATGAATGTGCCTGTTAAAATATCCCTATCCATCCTGCTGGCCTATCACCTTGCCATCCTACCTACTCACTGCATACTCATTTACCATTTACTCACACACAGAAAAGCTATTTCAATGTCCCAAAGCTATTCAGTGTATTTGTGAATGAGGCTTTCTAGAATATGGCAACTAGTGCTGTCACGTAGAGCTGTGATTTTTCCCAAATGATCCTGTGCTACAAAGAAGGAACCCTATCAAAGACTCTACATTTCTCTGAAAAGGCCGGCTTCAGAAATCTTGGCCAAAAGCATGAAGTTCTATCATTGGGTGGAAACGCAGGTGCTGAATGGCAACCAATGGTGACTGCCATTCCTCAGAAGCTTTGGCCCTCTATCTGAGGAATATTTGAAAAAGATTTTTTTTTGTGCACTGAATTGGCTTCTAGTAAATGCTTAGGCAGCAGAGGCTATCTGAAAAGGGTGCAGAGACAAAAAAAGTTAGGCTGGAAGCTTCAACTGTTGAACCAGAGTCTGCTTGGCACACATTCTGTTAAACAAAAGGAAGAAAGATTGGGTTGGCTTAGCTATTGGTTATTGATTAGCTGTCACAGTTAAGTAGCCCAGTCAATGACTGAGTTAGCATACTACCCAATCCCAACCACCCATCATTTCAAGTCCAAGTTTCAAATAGATAGTTGAAGTCTCAGCTGAAGAGAAGCAAGTGATTTTAATCAAGTGTGACAGAAGCCATGAAGGACTAGTTACAGACACCAACTCTCTGCAATTAAAAAATAAATCTTTTAAAGTAAACTCACTTTAAAGCAATAGGTATACCACTAGTAGTCTACTGCACAAATCCAAATGACCCCAAATGCAGACAATTAAAATCAGTCAGAAATTGTGATATTGACACAGTTTGATGGCACAGTCCTGAGAGGAAGATATACAAACAATGTTGGAAACTCACTAATTTCAAGGATATTTGAGATACAATGAAGTTTCTTGAGATCTCAGATCCATCAAGAATATTGTAGAAATCCTTCTGCACTAGCTTAGGCGAAGGGCAGCAGCAAAGCTTGGCAATGCAGTATCAATGGTTCACACAGCAACTTAGTAACAGTGCAGGAAATGGCATGGGCACTTAACTGCCCCTAAGCCAACAAGTCAATGCAAGAAAAATACTAATGTCCTGACAAGAAAGGCAAGATAAGAGGAGTTAGTGATATCTTCCAAGAACATACTTGGAACAAGAATGTCTATAAATGATCAATCCACCCTGACCATTCTGCTGAAACCCTTGTTCAAAATGTCCAGAAGGCACATGTTCTCAGCTTTCACTTGTTAGTGGTCATTTATTATTTACAGCCTTATGTTCAATCATCCCAATTTAGACGTCACTTTGAATCTAACTATTTGCTGTATGTATTTCAACACTTCTATTACAGGAATCAGATATTAATTATGGGTTATTGCTATCTCACAAGAATCAAAGATCATTCTCACTTTTCACGTTCATCTGATGCCGAAGACAAGCCACAACACCAGAATGAGAACAAACCTTCTCCTTCCTCTCTCCTATCAGGGAGGAAGCTCTGCAGATACGAGGGAAGGAGGCCACACACAATGGTAGAAATTGGGAACTGGTAGAGCAGCTGCAAATTACAAGTTCCTGATTGTATTTCACTTGGTTCATAAACTGTCAGCAAATTATACCATGGAAGCATCATACCATGTCATTACAGTTGAAAGTCACACATCAACACTGTTCCTCATTTCTTCCTCTAGATGCATCAGAAGAGGAAGAAAAAACAAACCCCACATTATCTGGGAGGTGATGGTGTAGCGAGAATAACACAGGATTAGTAATTCAGAGACCTGGCTCTAGGAGCCGCGGTTTGAATTGCACCATAAGAGATGCTGAATTTGGAATTCAAATCTGGAACTAATAGTCGAACAATGACAATTAAACCGTTTTTGATTGCCATAAAACCCCATCTGGTTCACCAATGTCCTTTGGGGAAGGAATCTGCTTCCTTACTTGATCCAGCCTACATATGACTCCCAACCCACAGCAATGAGATTGACTCTTAAATGTCCTGTAAGTTGCATCTAAAATGCCAAAACATCTCAAAAAAGGAATGAAACTGGACAGAACAGACCACCTGGCATGAGCGAGGGACTGGAAGCGGCAAAACACAACCCTGCTGACCCTATTAAGTGCTCCTTACTAACATGTGTGGGTTAGTGCTAACATTGGTCAAGCAATATCCTGGCATTGCCTGTAAGGTATGATTCTGGGGCTACAACTATTTCCCACACAACATCATCCCTGTCCCACCAACTGATGAATGATGAGGAAGCACCAAAGTGGCAAGAATGGAGAACGTACGCTGGGTGGGACATGACAACGTTCATCACCAAGAAGGGGCCAAGCAACGTTATTACTGGCCAAGCTGGTAGAGTCCTAAAGGATATAGCTGCCAGACTAAGTCTGTGACACGTGGTAAAGGGACAAAGAGTGAAAAACATACTTGACCTCACTCTCTCCATCTGCTCATGACAGTTTCAGAAGGAGGGACTACCACACAGTCATTAAGGGGACAAGTCTCGCCTTCAAATTGATAATACCCTCCACTGTGTTGTGCAGCACTGCCATCATGCTAAAGGGGACAGATTTTCAACAGATCTAGCCATTCAAACCACGGCATCCTTGAGGGACTGTGGGCCAACAGTAGCAGCTGAAATGCACCCACATAATCTGAAAACTCATGACCTGGAATATCCCTCACTCTTATCATTACCCTCAAGCCAGGGATCAACCCTGGTTCAATGAACAGAGCAAAAGGGCATGCCCTGAGCAACACCAAGCACTCCTAAAAATGAGGTGTCAACCTGGTGAAGCCAAAAACAGGAGTGCGTATAACCAAACAGCAAGTGATAGACAGGGCTAAGCATTTCCAGGACCAACGGATCAGATCAAAGCTCTGTAGTTGTGAATGGTAGCGGTCAACGAAACAATTCCTTGGAGGAGAGGGTCTCCACAAACATGGATGTCTTCAATAATGAGGTTAATTTTATACATTAGTGCAAAAGACAGGGCTGAAGCATTCGCAACAATCTTCAGCCAGGAGTGCCAAGTGGATGATTCATCTCAGCCCCCTCCAGAGATCTCCTACTTGATATGTGCCAGTCTTTAGCCAGCTTGATTCACTCCACATGATATCAAGCAGTGGTCAGCACTGCTGCCTCACAGCACCAGGGGCCCGGGGTCAATTCCACCCTTGGGTGACTGTCTGTGTGGAGTTTGCACATGCTCCCCGCGTCTGCGTGGGTTTCCTCCGGGTGCTCCGGTTTCCTCCCACAGTCCAAAAATGTGCAGGCTAGGTGCATTGACCATGGAAAATTACCCGTAGTGTTCAGGGATGATTAGGGGAATTGTTCTGCATGGGATACTGTGAGAATCAGTGTGGAGTTGTTGGGCCAAAGGGCCTGTTTCCACACTGTAGGGATTCTACTCTATGATAAATGATTGAAGGCAGTAGGTACGACAAACCTACAGGGTCTGACAACATTCTGGCAATAGTACTGAAGGCGTGTGCTCCAGAACTTGCAATGCCCCTAGTCAAGCTGGTCTAGTACAAATACAACACTAGTATCTATCTAACAATGTGGAAATTTGCCCAACTATATCCTTTACACAAAAAGCAGGATGCATCCAACCTAGGAAATTACAGTCTTATCAGTGTGCTCTCAAACATCAGTAAAGTGATAGAAGGGGTCAATATCAATAAGCAGCACTTGTTCAGCAATAACCTGCTCACTGACACCGCTTGGTTCTGCCAGGACCACTCAGCCCCTGACCTGATTACAGCCTTGGATCAAACACAGACAATGAGTGACTGCCTTGACATCAAGGCTGTATTTGGCTGAATGTGGCAAAGAGCTTTAGCAAAACTAAAGCCATTGGGAATGAGATGGATGTCTCTCTGCTGGTTAGACTCATTTAAAGGAAGATAGTCATTGGAGGTCAATTATGTCAGTTCCGGGAGGAGACCTCTGCAGGAGGTCCTCAGGGTAGTGTCTTAGGCCTAACCATCTTCAGCTGCTTCAATAACCTCCCCTCAAACAAATTCAGAAATGGGAACATTCACCGACAATTGCACAATGCTCAGCATATTCACGACTCCTTAGATACTGAAGTAGTCCATGTTCATTTGCAGCATGCCTGGCTAATATCCAGGCTTGGTCTGACAAGTGGCAAGTAATAATGCTTGGCACACAAGTGCCAGGAAATGACTCTTTCCAACAAGAGAATCTATTCATCACCCCTTCAATGGCATTGCTACCACTTATTCATGCACTAACAACATCCTGGAGGTTACTACCAACCAGAAGTAGAACTGGAATACCCTTTTGAATACAGAGATGACAATAGCAGGTCAGAGGCTAGGAATCCTGCAATGAGTGTGACACCATCCAGAACAAAGCAGCCCACCTGATTGTTTGTAGGTCTGATACCACACCTTCTACCAGGACACTCAGTTGCAGCATTGCGTACTTTCGACAAGATTCACAGCAGAAATTCAAGAAACCTACTTAGACAGCATTTTCTAAAGCTATGACCACTATCATCTAGAAAGACAAGGGCAGCTGATACCATGGGAATACCACCATCTGCATTTTCCTTCCAAGCCATTCGCCATCTGATTTGGAAATACATCACCATTCCTTCAGTGTCACTGGGTCAAAATCCTAGAACTGGCCCCCTAACAGTATTACAGGTGCTCTTACTTCAAATGGACAGCAATGGTTCAAGATGGCAGATCACCACCTTCTCAGGGATTACTACGGATGCTGGCCGAGCCAGCAATGCTCATACTCTCCTGAACAATTTTTTTAAAAATCTGGCCTAGCTAACACTTAATTGTACACTCAGTCCATACCTCCTAATTACCTTTCAAAAGGTATCCACACCAGTGGGGAATGTATTATGTGATCCACTGAGCCCAAGCTAGTGAGGGCAGCTGAAGTGTTAGACCCCAAGAATGAAGAGGTCAATGGCAGAAAACAAACAAGAGGAAATGACAACTCGATATTGAAAGGCCCACAGTCACTCAGTTTTTAAAGAAGGGTGCATCAAATCTACATGTAGGTACTTGGGACCATGTCAGAAAGTCTGTTGTAGGTAGAGAAGTCATCAACCATATTCAGAGGTTTAGATGATAGATAACCTTGCAAAACAACAATCTACACTGGTATATATTGGAGGTAGCTGCCCTAAGAGCAATCCATGCATCAACTACAGGCTTTCAGTTACCAATGCCAAACCCAAAATCCATTTACCAACCCTGACCCAGTCATAGTATTGTTATCCTGTGTCACACTGACATTATTGTTTCCAATTTGGATATTGCTTCCCTATAATCTAGAAAAGCCACTCATGGATGGAGTAAGTCAAATCTGGCCATTATTGGACCCAGTTAACCTCATTACTGGAAACATACCTAAGCAAGAGTTGGCATCTTGAGGAAAAATGGAAGGGAAGGTGGGGGGTCAAAATTGTAAAGACTCAGTTTCAAAAACATTACCTGCACAGGGATTTCACAGAATCGTTGTCGAGAAAATCATGATCCTTCTTGACAGCCTCGATGTCGATAGGAAACTGAGAATCTACAAGAAACAAACACATTTACAAATTACCTCCTCGTATACTCCATCTATCACTGAAAATCAGTCAGCTTTTTCTTTCTCAAATCTTACGAAGGATCACTAAAACCCAAACTCCTCATTTCCTTCAGAGTTTCTGAAGAACATTTTCAGCATTTTGTTAAATCTCTCCTTCAGGTGCTGGATTTTAGAGGTACAGTTCAATCTGCACAAGTAGCACTAGAAGAAGGGTCCCAACCCGAAACATCGGCTTCCATGCTCCTCTGATGCTGCCTGGCCTGCTGTGTTCCTCCAGCTCTACACCTTGTTATCTCATCCTGTTGTGCTCTGGCAGCTTAAATTCATTGGACATTGCAGGCATAGACTCAGCTCAGCGAGGGAATAGCCAAATAATTCTAAGGTATATCCTCAGAGAAGAATTGTAAAGAATGAAAGATCCTTTTGCAAGGGAAGCGATGAGGAGACATAGGAAAAGCTGAGGCCAAAATAAACCAAATATTGGACAGAATCTCCTGCTTGAAGGTGGCAAGGGTGCATATTCAGCAAGGTGGTAATGTACATAACCTTGCTGCCATCTTGCTTCCACCAGAATTAAGTCCTGGCAGGGAGACCTAGAGTTAACCTTCCTGCTCCACTGCCAACCAAGGTGCTCAACTGAGTAATCAAGGATCACTTAAGGGGCTCTGATTGCTATCGGTGAGTATAACCCAGTGGCACATGGGCCTGTCATCATGCCATGTTCTTAATAACTACTACTCCATGGGCAACTTGTCACCTCGAAGGACTGGACATCTGGTTGGGGGAATACTTACTCACTGGAAGCCACCAACCATCTCTCTGCACTACTATATCTTTACTTCCAATGTATCACTCTCCCCCTGGCCCCCAGCCCAAGAACCATCACTCTCCCTTTGCCCTGGGTTCTCTGCAATTCTTGGCCACTGAAGATGGGGTTGCATTTCCTGAAGCAGCTATGGCCTTCACTGTGGTGCTGGTAAGCAGAACAGGCACTGGCCTCTGCTGGGCCAGCTGCTGTCATTGGGTTGGATTTCCATGTTAAGGCTCTCCATGCCAAAGGAAAGTACACCAACAATCTCTGCTGTCTGATGGTGAGTGGTTTGGGTCTTCCGCGGGGAGGTAGCATGGGTCTTGCTAACTCTCCAGCTAACAAGCAACCCAGCCCCAACAAAATTATCAGCCATCTCAACGGGATTCTGTCAACATTTCACTACTTTTGGTGCACCCAACAGTGACTCCAAGCCAGTTCAAAGAAGAGATCTATATCACAAGAAAACCAGGCAGTAACATTTGGGATTTTTCTGGGATGCAATCAACTTTCCTGACAGAAGCAGTAATGTATGGTCACAGTGGGGCCTGAGCTGTTAGCCTGAAGGTGAAGACTGATTAAAGGAAAGGAGATTTGGCTGAAAAATCATTTTCCCAATATGCTCTACTTCCAGTAATTGTTCCCTGTCAATCCTCCCAGGATCATTTAAAAGTTGCAGTCAAACCACTTTAAATGTTTAATTAAAGTTAAACATTTAAGTACAGACTTAGGGTGGTTTTGCACAGGACGCTAAAGCAGGAAACTCCATTGCAGGAGATAACAAATATTTAAAGCGAAAGTATAGTTGTAAAAGTTAATCTTTTGTGAACTCAGCCACTTTGATTAACAATTTATGAATTCCAAAAATGCAAACATGACAGAGTGCACGTATCTGTTCAGGTGGTCCCTATGTACGAATGACACTGGTACTGGGATCATAACACACTTGACCGAGAATCAGACACAACTAGGGATGGTAGTAGGAAATCAGGTGTTTCTAAAGCCTCTGAAGAAGTGAATACTGCACAACTTAAAAAGGAGATGCGCGCATGCTGCAGAGAATGCAGATTGCAAAAGCTAGGCTCACAGCTTCTCCAATGTCATTCTGGGCTGAGGTGCCTGAATGCAAGGAGCTTAGCTTCCAGGATTCAGTCAGGTTACAGCAATACCAAGGAAAGTTTGGCTCATGACGGTCACAGGGGAGATCGCAGTAAATTGGAAGATGGCCAAAACTGTTGCCAGATCAATAATAAAGACAAATCTTGTTGTTTTGTCAAGCACCAAACCCATTAATCTTCATAACTTTCCATGTTAAGAACATGAACCAGGAGCAGCAGTAGGCAATTCAGCCCCAGGCAGCCTGCTCTGCCATTCAATACAATCATAGCTGATTTCATCTCCACTTTCCTGTCCGCTTCCCAAAACTCTTCAACTCATTAGTAATTAAAAAATCGGTCCGTCTCCCCTTAAATTTACTCAATGTCCCACATTCACCACACTCTGGGATAGCGAAATCCACAGATTTAACATCTTTTGAGAGAAGTATTTTCTCCTCCTCTCAGAATCACAGAATCCCTATTGTGCAGAAAGAGGCCATTCAGCCCATCAAATCTGCATTGACCTGCCAAAAGAGTATCCCACTCAGATCAGCCCCCTACCTTATCCCTCGTAGCTCTGCATTTCCCATGGCCAAACCACCTAGCCTGCACATCCCTGGACACTATGGGCAATTTAGCATGGCCAATCCACCTCGCCTGCACATCTTTGGACTGTGGGAGGAAACCCACACAGACAGGGAGAATGTGCAAACTCTACACAAACACCTGAGGCTGGAACGAAACCCGATTCCCTGGTGCTGTGAGGCAGCAGTGCTAACCATTGAACCACCATGCCACCCACCGGATGAGGTTTTTTTTATTATTCCCCATGCCCCCACCAAGCTTAGAGCTTTTCAGAGTGAAAGTTGCACACCCATTTGTGAAAAGTGCTCATGGACTACACCCCAAACGGCCGACCTCTAATGTAAAAGTTCTGCCCCCTTGTTCCAGACTCATTCCACCAGCAGAATCAGTTCTGCTCTATCTTCCTCTGGAGTCCTCTGTCGAAGGCTGGTCCAACCCACAGAGCTGGCCCATGGGTAGGGCAAGGGGACAAGTACAGAATCATCCCTCCTAGAATGGTGTCAAACTCCCAGACTGACCCTCAGGAGCTTGGAGACAATAAGGACTGCAGATGTTGGAAGCCAGAGTGCATAGATATGAGGCTGGAAAAGCACAGCAAGTCAGTCTGACCTACAGTGATTTTCCTGACCCACAGCAGCTAACTGGCTTCCTGAGGAGGATGAGACACCGTGGCAACATCCATGCTATAGCCTGGAGCTATGGATATTGATAGTATTATACTGTACTCAATTTAGTACTGAGTAACCTGACAGAATTAATTAAGATCCTAAGACTTAAGGAACCTGTGGGTGACAGTGATAGTAATATGATTGAATTTTACATACAGTTTAAAAGGAAAAACGGTGGGTCTAAGATTAGTGTACAGACTTAGACCCTTTTCATTTCTGTTCTTTTTAAAACTATGGACTGAAATGAGAAAGACCAGAGATTTACAAGGATGGTAGAATGTTTTGAAAGCAAGCTAAGTGATACCTCTTGTGAACCCTGTTTGTGTAGCTGTGGGATACAGCAACATGCAGTGATGAGCACCAATCTGTTCTTGCATATCCATGTCAACACAACCGTCAAGAAAGCACAACAACGTCTCTACTTCCTCAGCAGGCTGAGGAAATTTGACATGTCCACAAGGACTTTTACAATTTTTAGAACTCTTTCTATGGTGCATCTACATCTGGATACATCAAAACGTGGTACGGCAACTGTTCTTCCCAAGACCTGTTATTAATCAGCCCCATCACCAACCTACAACCTAACTGTCTCCTTTAACGTCGATTCTTACTTTTCCACTCCCCTATTTAGTTTAAGCTATTATGTTAAGCAATTGGATTAAACTGGATGATCATCTGTATGAGAACCATCTACGCAAAAAAAGTAATATGGATTCAGAAGAGAGATTCTGCCTGACAAACATCTTCAGCGTGTTTTGCAGAAAATGACGATTACAGTGGACTATAGGAAATTTTACATGCAGATTTACAACAAAACTTTCACAGATGCCCATATGAAGGCTAATGAAAGGGATACTCAATGAACAGCTGTGGTAGCAGTCGAAAATTAACAGAAATCCCATTTGCAAAAAATTCTGGGGTTTTGTACATCCCAACATTCAAGTGATCAATCAAGAGTATCCCCAAGGACAGTCCCAGGATACCTGTCAAATTGTTACTAGTGCAACTTATGAATTAGATAAACGTGGGATTTCCAAAGAACGAACTGTTCTGGTAAAGGTTGTCCAAGATTCTTATCAGTATAGAATATTACCACAAATTAAACCATGCAGTAGAACAAAAGGGCACACAATTTCAAACTAGTAAAATGTGATTTTTAGGACCATTTTTAGGAAATTCTTCTTAACAGTGTAAATCAACATTTGAAAGAAAGTACCAAATGGAGGCAAAGCCTTGGAAAAATGTTGAAAATAAGTAATGTATGGTGGTCGGGTAGTGGGGGGAATGTGTTAGAATGTCTTTAGTTGGACAGATTAACTAAAGATAAATCACCATCTTTACCCATAATTACCAAGGTGTTGCAAACAACATTCAAATAAATACTCACAGGAAAAAACAAAGACAGACAGAGCGGAAAGATCCTGTTTTCAACTAATTTAGGGGTACAACAAAATCAAGTGTATATCCCATGTTGTATGGCACATGCAGACCTATAGCAAATTTCTCAAGGTCAGAAATCACACAACACCAGGTTATAGTCAAACAGGTTTATTTGAAAATACAAGCTTTCAAATGAATCTGCTGGACTGTAACCTGGTGTCGTGCGATTTCCGAACCTTGTCCATCCCAGTCCAACACCAGCATGTCCACATCATGACAAATTTCTCAGCCAGAGTTTCTCAATTGGCCTGGCCTCTCCTCCCATATTCTTTACAAAAACCAAATTAAAATAAATAAATAAGGCACAAACACCACACCTACCTTCATAGAGCTGTGCATACTGAGGAAATCCTGCTGCCCGCAGCCAATCACACACTTCCTTAGCCTTCAGCTCTGTAATAGAGTTCATTAAATTAACTCTTGCTGAGCCACAAAGTTGCAAGTTGACGATGTGAAAACAAACAGCAAAACAAAAAAGACTTTGTTTTAAAACACAAAGCTACAAGGGATCTACAGCACAGAAACATTTTGTCCAATTTGGTCCATGTTGTCATTAATGCCCTATATCAACCTCCTCCCACCCTTTCTCATTAACCCATTAGCATAGCTTTCAATTTGTTTTTCACGAGTTCATCCATAAACTCCTTAATTGCATCTATGCTATTTGACAACTTGTAGCTGCATATTCCATATTCTTAACACTCTGGTGCAGAAGTTTCTCTGGAAATCCCTTTTGGATTTAGTTGCAACTATCTTACACATGCAGCTCATAGTTTGTTCAGTTGACTCCAATTGGCAACACCTTCTCTATGTCTATTCTGTCAAATCCCCTACTTCATTCTGAAGACTTCTAACTGGTTACCTCTAAACCTTCTATTCTATACAAAAGATCCCACTGTCGATTTTTTTGGATAGTTATATAGTCGCTTTATTGTATTATTAAATAATTATTTTCTCTCTTACTCCAATTCCATCTTTCAATGAACCTGAATAATTTCCTTTATCAAAATTTCTTTTAGTTGAATAATGTATACATTTTTAAAACCAAAACTTGGTATCACTTAGACACTAATTTCTTTTCATTTCCTCTTTTTTTCAATGTTGATGGTCTCTTGCAAAATAGGCCTTAGCACTTCAACTTTGACTGAGAAACAAAAAAAATGGCTAAATTGTTTCCTCAAATTAACCAATTGTGTTTCTGAAGAATGGGACCCTTTCTGTTCAGCACCAACATTATTCCATCAAGTTCTCGAAGGCTCAAGGTGTGCACCAGATAGCCAGAATAAAGCTTTGGCTATCTTTTATCTAGTAAGACAAGAATTCTACAGGTTACTGTAGGGTTTAACACTGTGAATACACAAAATAAGTTGTCCTTTTGATATCAATAAATTTAACATTACTGAAAGAATGTGAAGTGAGCATGCAGAATGGTAACTGGGAGACTAAAGTAACGCTCAGAATTATTAAATGTGCAATACAGTTGGAGATATCAGAATCTAGACAATGCTGTGCAGGCAGAAACCATGGTCTGGTCAGTGGCATCTGAACATTTTTAACATTTTTTCAGCTTTGCCTCCTCCTTCTGAACTGGCTGACTGATACAAGATGTAGTTCCAACACGCCAGACATTCCCATTTCTTTTCTTTGATCAAGTGTGGGTGTTGTTGGTAAGGTCAGCATTTGTTGTTCATCCAGAATTGCACTTCAAATGACTTTGCATGAATGAAATGATGTATGTATTATCAAAGTAATGTCAGCTGAATATTCTTAAACCTTTGCTGAACAACAAAGATCTAGGACAGAGTTTCCCTCCTAACACCAAGGACACAGAAGCAAACAATTGATCCTAAATACCACAAAAATCAGAAATTGCTGTAAAATTTTAGAGCATCTGTGGAGAGAAAACAGAGTTTCAGGTCCAGTGATCTTTTTTTGGAATGCTGCCAGACCTGCTGAGTTTTTCCAGCAATTTCTGCACTTGTTTCGGAGTTCTAGCATCCACTGTTCATTGATTAGTTTTTGACCCTAAATACCAGCCTGATTCACACTAGAGCAAGAATAAAACATGGACACTTTTGCGTGCAGCTCAGTTTCTCCTTACACAGTGCACAACATCACTGAAGAAACTCACATTTTCATTCCTTTGAAATGTTCAATGAAATTGATTTTTTCCCTCTAACACATTTCATATCCATTCATTGTGTGTACACAAACATCATTTGTCATAAGCATTTTTGGGTAACAAGATGTATGAGCTGCACAAAATGAAGCTTTTTTAAAATCAATCGTTGTCAAAAAAAAAAATCAACTTGTGCAGAGATGTTATCACACACCTCTGGAGAATGTGTTTGTACTTGGGCCTCTTGGCTCACCTTCTCTACTCACCTTAAAAACAGAGAACATCTGTATCTCAAGGGTTTGTGCTCAGTGCACATCCAACATTCAAGTTGGAAAAAGAATCACACCAACATTGATGAGTCTTCTCTGGAGGCAGGGAATGTTTGATCTATCACTGACAGAGCTAAGAATAAGCAGGCTCACCCCAAACTGATGTCTCAAATTAATCCATCAGATAAAATCACTTCAACTGTTCAAACTGACCTCAAACAATATAATCCAACCTTTATAATTATTATAATAAATTATACAACCTTTGCAATATAAAAATTAATACACTTCATACAGGATCTGAACTGCAGAGTATATCCCAAAAATGAACCAAAGTTTCACCCGATTGAAGATTGAGGAATAAAGATACACAAGTAAACACTGGCAAAGGCCTCTCATCTACTTATACTGAAAAGCTGCTACCAGCTTCACTGAACCAAGTGGAAAATTTAGGTCATTAACTTAAACTTTTACTGTTTTACTCTCCAAAATGTTACTCGACTTAGAGTTTCTGGGAAATCTAGCCAGGTCCTGCCAGAAGCTGGTGGAGGGGCCAGGATTTACGGCACTATGGAAGGAGGGGAAATTAGACGGGTGTAACACTTTGGAAGGGGGGGGGCCTCCAATGGGCTGAACAGACCTGTTAAAGAAAACAGTCTTTTCTGCCGCTAGCCTCTGCAGGAAAAGCTACAGGGCTAACAGTGAGGAATGGGTCTCTGCTATGGCTGGTGAAATCCTGACTGCGACAGGATGAGGCCCCTAATTGGCCCCATTAATTACTCACTTGAGTACCTCAATTATCCCACTTTTGGGTCAGCCACCAATAACTAGCCCTGCTGCTGGTACAATTGAGGTGGAGGTGCATTTTCAAACCTTAAAGCCTGCCAACAGGAAGCAAAAACATCTAGCCTTAACTTTAATGTTCCAGAAATCAGACATACTGAGTATTTCCAGCAATTTTAAAATTTATTTTGAAGTACTACACAGCCTGCTGTAAAAATGAAGCAGTGGGTTATAAAAGTTTTTTTTGTTTGCATAAACTAAATACAGTTCTGAAGCTACAGGTGAGATTTTTCATTTGCAAGTACTCTGCACAATTCTAGGTTGACTGTCATGCATTATTTGTTTTGCAATCCTTCAGAGAAAATGAGAAGTGAAACCTTCCTGACTTCAGCCTCTCTGTCTAGAATTCATAATCTCCGTGGGTTTCCTGTTTACTCCGAATTTCAGAAGCAAGCAGGTTTCAGTTATCTACCAACTGAATGGGCAGACCTTCCTCGAGATGCAACCTTGTGCTGAAGGTTAGGAGCAAAAAGGAGGTGAGAGTATATGAAGGAGTAAGGTAGCTAGGTTACACTGAAGTCTAAAGGAGCCAGAATTACAGCACAGTGTAAACTAGAGGAGGGGATGAGGAGCATAGTAAAGTGTAAATTATGCAGAATAGGGTCAGAGCATAAATCAATGATCATTTGGAGGAGATGGGGAAGGGTGTTCAAGTAGCATTATAAAAGCTCCAAGGAGAAGCTGGGAGGAGGAGGAGGAGGCAGCAGTGGAGGAGGAGGAGCTACAGCATATTAAACTGTGCCAGAAATAAGGCTGTAATCAAATGAAGGCTAGCACCTAGATTAGAGCACAATAATAAACTGGGAGAGGTCAGTCACAGTAAAAATTGAGCAACAAGTTTATAACACAATGAGGACTCAGAGCAAATAAAGTTAGAATGCAGTGTTAACCTATGTTGACAGAATTCGAGGTGATAAAACCATGCAGCTTGAAAAATAAACAAAAGTTCTAGTTTTAATTAATTGAATTCTAGAATTAATCGAAAAATCCTATTATTAAAAAAGTACCATGTCCAGATTTGTTTGTGATGGGGGAGGAGAAATATGCACAGCTGCCTAACATAAAATGAATCAAGAAACCTCAATGCTTTCTTGCTTAAATTCTAAATAATATTCCAATAAAAGCCCCGAAGCATAAATATCACAATCCTAGTTTGATTCTAGCATAGGTGCAGTGAACAGTGTGCTTGAACTGAAACATATTGTCCACATGCAACATCCCAACTTGGAGCAAAGTAACCCATCCTTCCATCCAAGAAGCCATTCATCACTAAAAACCTGAAAAAGACTGTTAATCCCATGGGGATTGATGCTGGTTCTAAGTGAAAGTCTCCCTGTGTTATTAAATAATGGCTTAAGCACTTTTAAGGAGAAATTCTGGTAGCCTCATCTTGAGGTGCATATTGACCTACTTAATTTATTTTCTATTTAAACAGATTAACATCATAAATAGGACTAAAACCACTACTTTCTTACAACTTCAGCTTGCACATGTACTTTTCAAAAACACCTAACTTTTTTTTTAAGAATGAGTTGTGTCTGAAACCCAAGCTCCAGGCTAACATCATTTGCAGTATTTTCAACCCCACTGAAATGTGCTGTGAGGTCAGAAGGCACCACAAATGGATCAGTCATCCTGAAATATTTTCTAGCCAGGATATTTTTCTGATAAGATAGATTACTGGATTTGTAGAGTTGAGCTCAGAATAATTCACTTTCTCAATAGCCAAGTATGCATACCACTGCGGATGCAATGAATTTCAATAAATGGCATCAGCCAGGTGGCATTTTATTAAAGGAAACCCAGGTTTCTCTTGGCAAGGATTCTGTGGAAAAAGGATTCATAGCTTTTTCCAAATCCTACACGTAAAGTAAACAGGTTACCTCATTTCACTCCAGAATGCCGTTATTCATCCCATTTTATTCCCCACACAGTGCAAAGTACAGTCAAGTAATGACGTAAAGATTACAATTCCAAGGAACTCCCTAATGATGGGATCTCAACAAATGCAGAAGCAAATCTTGCTAAAACTATCCAAGGCACTAGTCAGACCATACCTAGAATGCTGTGAACAGGTTTGGTCCCTTTATTTAAGTAAAGATATAATGGATTAGAGACAGTCCAGAGAAGGTTCACGTGGTTGATTCTGGGAGTGGAGGAAC